CATCTCAACCAATCAAAACCAATACTAAAACCAATCCTAAGTTTCCCAGACCTTCAAACAGGTTGGCTGTTTTTACTTTGAATACTTATCAGTTAATGACGATGTTAACGTCTCTTCTGATTGGTAGTTGTGATCACTTAGGTTTTGGTCTTTCAACAGTCAATTGGAAACTGCCCTATACACTTTACCATTATAAACACAGAAAGGTAAACACAGTTCCAGTGATACATACTATTTATTAATTTTACTTAAAAGAAAAATTACAAAATTTGGTGTTCTTGGGAAGAAAAAAGAAAATTGCAGTTACTGTAAAAAATTTATCTTTAAAGAACAATATGTAGATCTCCAGTCATTAGCTGAGCACTAATTGAGATGGATAAAAATATTTTTAAAGTGTAAAAGTCATGTTCACTCCCTCTTGAAGGACATAACTTGTTCCAATTCTTTCTCCATCTGCCGCAAATAACGAGTGTTCATGAACAGCAGCTGAAAAAAAAAATGAAAGGAAAAAAGATGTATACTCAAGTCAAGTTGCTCACCCAGCTGGAGCTGGACCCAGTTCCCTAAGCATGAAGCAACAAGGAGTATCACTACTTTCCCCTTGGATGGGATATCAATCCATTGCTAGCCTGCAGAGGCATAATTTTGGTTAGCGAGTGCTTCATGTTTTCTTAACGAAAATTATGGCCACCATCTTTGATTTTTATGGCAGCAGAAAGCTGGTGAGAGAGAGGCATTTGTACCAAGAGGACGGTTGATGGTCAAAAATAAGGAAAGGGGTGGGGTGAAGGAGTAACAATTACCCCAGTGATCCCTAGAGGCTGATGCTCATGGAATATAATCCATCTCTGTAGCACAAAAACATTTTTTAACTCTTTAACCCCTATAAGAAACAAGCTTCTTATTTCCTTTGAAACGACATTGAGGTCAGAATTAAGGAAATGATCACCAACTAAAGTTTGAAGCCCTTGATTTTTAAACAAATTCTCCTTGTCAGTAGATTAACATATCTATAGAGAATGGGGAATATACATCAAGCTTTCCCCACAGCTCTCTGCCATGGGAGGAGGGTGGGAGGGAAGACTGATTCAGGAAATATAGAACTTTTTCTGTCCCTCTACAGCCTGGTAAATAAGTTCAGAACTACTTCAAGATGATAAATTTGAAGTCCTCACAGGTCATCCTTTCGTTGTTAGGAGACTCTGTGTTTCTGTGATTCTGTTTAGTAATAGATCGTAGATGACCTCAAAATTTGGTAAGAACAAACAAGGTGCACACAAGGCACAGCCAGGTGTGTCACTGTTATTCTTACCACATTCTGACATCTTGTGGGATCTATCATTGCACAGGCCTGCAGCAACATGGAATCTTTTAATTTGTTTTATGGAATGGAGAAGCAAAATGTCCTTGGAGATCATAAGTAAGGACCAATAAAAATGTGTGTAGGATACAGCTTAGTACACAATCCATGATAGATAAAAGAGTAAACTAAGTAGCGTAACAGTGTGCTTTTGTAAACAAAATAGACACGTGCCTATCTTGTTGTTATATTTTGTAGAAAAAATTGCTCTCATTTTCTGAATGATAGGCGATCTTGTCTTTGCCCTCATCAATTATTATGCGACAGAAATCCTGAGCTCATAATCTGATTGTCATATCGTTATGGTACACTACAGGTAAAACATTTGCTCTGAGACCAAGTAAAAAGACCATGACCTTGTCAGTCTGATTCATACCTGCCCATTTGGTAGAAATTGATGAATAATTGTGACAACCCTGTCCACTTTGAGGATTGCCTATAAAAACATTCAAACAATTGATAAGCTCTCACAGAGGTACAGCACAGCATTGCTACAAATGTGACAACAAAATTAAAATGAAATTCTTGAGATAGCTTATTGAGTAGGAACATCCCACCAACTTGCCTCGGAAGGCTGAAGAATTATTTGGCAGTATTCCTGAAGGTG